GGGAAGTCATTTGGAAATATCTTCAATGGTCCTTTGAAGCACTGGCAGATGTGGCAAGCACCCAACCATGGATCCAGACAACAAACCTTTGGAAAAGGGTTCAGTGTTCCACAAGCTAGCAGGCCAGCCACTGCATCTCAAAAGATACAGGGCTGTCCTGTGGTCTGTGATTGGAGACCATGAGTTTTTTGCTAACTCTTTGGGATTACCACATTGGAACAGCCATTGGCCTTGCTGGGAGTGTGATGCCCAGAACTTTACTCCATGTACCTTTGGAAAAGGGTACAAGGAAATTTGTTTGGAAAAGCAAAAGTTCAAAGTCTTCACCCATGAAGAATGCCTGGCAGACCCATGGAGTGACCATGCCCTTTTCAAACTGAGCCACATCTCAAGCAAACATGTCCGTGGAGATCCACTACACATCTTGTTCTGCAAAGGACTCTATGGACATGTTATAGGATCAATTCTCCATTATGTCTGTTACATTGAAGGCCCTGGCCAAAGAGCCACTAAAAAGCCAGCAGACAGACTTGCAATTCTCTTCAGTGAAATTCAAATTGAATACAGCAAACAGGAGTGCAAAAACCGCTTGACCAATCTCAGGATGAGCATGTTTACAGACACACAAAAGCCATGGGCCAAATATCCCCAATTGGATTGCAAAGGAGGGGAAGCCAGGCACCTCCTGCCAGCCTTCATTTCTGTTATCCAAAGGCTTTTTCAAGACACAATGGAAGAATGTGAGCAGCACATGGTCTTGGTGGCTACCAGTTTGGAAAAGCTGGTGAAGCTCTGGGATGAGGCTGACACATTTCTTACTTCATCACAGTACCAAAAGGGCTTGAAGCTGGCAGGTGATTTCCTGAGAAGCTATGCCTGGCTGAACCAATGGTCTTTGGAAAAGGACAGGATGAGTTTTCACATAGTTCCAAAACATCACAGCTTCATCCATCTGGTCTGGAATTCTAAGTTTTTAAACCCACGAACACAGTGGTGTTTCAAAGCTGAAGATTTTGTAGGGCAGGTGGCCAGATTGACCCATTCAGTCTCAATGGGAGTATCATCCACACGCCTGTCTTTAAAAGTTGCACCCAAGTATCGCATTTTGGTGCATCTTTTTTTGACAAGGTCCATGCAGGAGGAAAGTGGTGATTAGTTTGGAAAAGCTCTTTGCTTTGGAAAAGGCACAGTGTAGACTGGAAACTTTGGAAAAGGATTTCAGCCTACTGCTTTGGAAAAGGCCAGATGGCTTTGGAAAAAGCCAGCAGGATTACTTAGCCAGCTGTGTGTACATATATATACTTTAGGTGCAAAGCCACCTAGAGATATGAGGCATGCCTTCAAAAATCTTGCTGCCAGAGCTGCATCTGGAAACACCTTTTTTGATCTGTTTTTAGAGGTTCCTTTTGATTTGCTCTTTTGATTTTTGCCTTTCAAAAACTATGTTTTTCAAATTGATTTTTGACTGAAAAATTTCAATTAGGCATTTTGATTTCTTAGGCCTCAAAATCAAATCTTTTGATTGTAATCAAAAGGCGATGCTCAGGGTCATCATCGTCATCATCATCGTCATCATCATCATCGTCGTCATCATCATCATCATCACCATCAGCCTCATCATCATCACCATCATCATCACACAATAGCCTTTTTTAGTTGCCGGCCATCCCGGCCACGGCCCGGCAAAACGGGCAAACACGGACACACGGCCAGAGGGAAACACCGGCCACACGGCCACGCGGGCACCAGGCACCCGGCAACCGGACACGCGGGAACCCGGCCACCGGCCCCACCCGCCACCCGGCCACACGGCCACACGGCACCCGGCCACCACCGGCCACCCGGCGGCCACCGGCCACACGCGGCTACCCGGCGGGCCACCCGGAGGCCACCGGACGGCACACCGGAGGACAAACCGCGAAACACCGGACGGCACCCGGGACAACCGGCCCGCGCCACCCAGGACACCCCCAGGCGGCCAAACGGCAAATCCGGCAGGCAACCCGGCCACCCCCGGCCACCCCCCGGCCACCCTGGCGACCCAAAGGACAAAAGGGACCACCCCCCGGCCACAGGCCACCCCCAAAATTTTTTCCCACGCGGCACCCGGCCACCCGGCACCTGGCCTCTCGCCAGCCGGCCAAAAGGCCACCGGCCCAAACCACCCGCCCACCCGGCCACCCGGCCACCCGGCCACCCGGCCACAGCCACACGGCCACACGGCCACACGGCCACCCGGCCACCCGGCCACCCGGCCAGCCAGCGGCAGCCGACCCAGCCAGCCAAACCGTGTTTTCCTTGTGATGCCAAGACAGCCGACCCAGCCAGCCAAACCGTGTTTTCCTTGTGATGCCAAGACATCATGTCGTGTGCTACGCTACTCGCTACTGTTACTGGCTCAAAAACCGTGTTTTCCCTTGCTGCTACGCTACTCGCTCTTCTTATGCATCCACAGACAGACTTGCTGCAATGTTACTGGCTCAAAATTTGCACGTGCGCGCTGACTTGCCGCTAGGTAGATAGGTATTCAGATATATTGTAAAGAAAAAAACTAGAAGGAAGGGGATTATTAGATAGTAGATGGATAGCTAGATAGATAGATGGATGGATGGATGGACGGATGGATGTATGTACAGACAGACAGACAGACAGGCAGACAGACAGACAGACAGACAGATAGATAGATAGATAGATAGATAGATTAGATAGATTAGATAGATTAGATAGATTAGATAGATTAGATAGATTAGATAGATTAGATAGATTAGATAGATTAGATAGATTAGATATATTAGATATATTAGATAGATTAGATAGATTAGATAGATTAGATAGATTAGATAGATTAGATAGATTAGATAGATTAGATAGATTAGATAGATAAGATAGATAAGATAGATATATAGATTAGATAGGTTAGATAGATTAGATAGAATAGATAGATTAGATAGATTGAAGCGATTAGAAAGATTATGTAGACTAGATAGACTGGATGGAATAGATAGATTTGATCGAGTAGATAGATGAGATCGATTTGATAGAGTAGATAGGTTAGATGAGGTAGATTAGATAGACTAGGCGGGTTTGGTGGATATAGAGTGGAACAAAATAGAGCAGCATAGAACAGACTAGAATAGAATACGGTTGGATGCATAAGAATGAAATAGGCATAGAAAAAGAGGTAGAAGTAGAATCATTTGAAGAATAGAGAAGAAAGATGTCTAGATCGATAAATCAGCTAGACTAGCCAGATTAGCTAGATTAGGTACGCTAGATAGATTGGGTCGATTATATAGAGTATAGAGTGGCTGGATAGATTAGATAGATTAGGTGGAGTAGGTGGATTAGAAAGATTAGATCGATTAGGTAGGTTAGCTACATGAGGTAGGATTGGTAGTTAGATTGATCAAAAGATTAGGAAGATTAATCAGATTAGATAGGTGGAAAGCAAGATAGGTAGATAGATTGGTAGACCTGATTGATCGATTGATTGTCAAGTTGGGTTTAGAAAGATCAGCCTAGAAAGATGGACAGATCGATCGATCCATGGATCAATCGATGGATAGATAGATAGCTAGATAGATAGACAGATATATGGATGGATTGATTATAGATAGATTAGATAGGTTAGATAGATTAGATGGATTAAGAAAAGTAGATCGGTTTGGTAGATTAGATAGATTAGATAGATTGGGTAGAGTAGATTGGCTAGATGGATGAGGTAGAGTAGGTAGATTAGACAAAGTAGATGGCATAGATCGATTGGATAGACTAGATTGATGTGAAAGGATGGAGAGGTTAGATAGGTTAGATAAGTTAGATTGAGGGTTTTACTGATTAGATCGACTAGGGCCTAGCGTAAATGGAATAGGCCGTAGGCACATTAGATTAGATTTGGTTAGAGTAGATTAGATTGGTTTAGACTAGTTTAGACTAGATTAGAGTGAAGTAGAGTAGAGTATATTAGATAGTTCGCAAGATAAATAGATTGGAACGAATAGGGCCAATAGAAAGAATGGACAACTAGATAGATAAATCACAGACTTGCTGATACACTACTTAATTAAGTATGTGCACGCAGACTTGCTGCTACGCTACTGGCTCATCTGTTGCATGTGCATCTGCTACGCTACTTGCTCTTCTTTTGCCGCGCAGGCTTGCTGCTTTGCTCCTGGCCTGCGTGTATAATTAGCACTGATTTGTATGGGTAAATTCCCCGAAATGCACGAACCGCGGCCACCCGGCCGGCCACCCGGCCACCCGGCCACCTGGCCACCCGGCCACCCGGCCACGGCCCGGCCACCGGCCACCAGCCACGGCCACCCGGCCACCCGGACACCCAGCCACCAATGACACCGGCCACGGCCAGCCGGCCATCCGGCCAGCCGGCTATCCCAACCACCCGGCCGGCCACGGCCCTGGCCATGGCCACGGCCACGGCCACGGCCACGGCCCGGCCACGGCCACGCACGAAAAAAAGCAATCCTCTCCTCTTCCTCCTCCTCCTCATCATCATCATCATCATCATCATCATCATCATCACAATCTTCGCCATCATCGTAATCATCAGCGTCAATGTTGTCATCGTGATCGTCAAAGCAGTATCATCACCATCACCACCATCATCATCATCATCATCATCATCATCACCATCATCACCATCACCGTCGTCATCACCATCACCGTCGTCATCACCATCATCATCATCATCATCATCATCATCATCACCATCATCATCATCGTCATCACCATCGTCATCGTCATCATCATCATCATCATCATCATCATCATCATCATCATCATCATCATCATCATCATCATCATCATCGCAGTCAACACCGGTGCAGTTGCACCATGGGCGGTTTCATCGCCACTCCATGGCTCCCCACCGGCCAGTTCACAGTTTACTCAAACGATGTTGATGATGTGATTGGTTACTCCCGTGTCATTCCCATGTTCGCGCCTCAACCGGCAAAAATGCAATCCTGCAAGCTGCTCAGGAACCGACAGTTGTTGATGAGGTGCGCACGGGCACCTACCGTCAGCTCTTCCATCCAGAACAGTTGATTTCCGGAAAAGAAGACGCGGCCAACAACTTTGCACGAGGTGGCCGGATGCATTTTTTCACATTGCTGGAGCATACATGCACTGTCATTGTAGCGTTCTTTAATAGACTTGGGCCGTGTATCTTGCCTCATTTTCTTGCTTGAAGTGTCAGATTGTGGGTTTTATGTTTCGGTATTTTCCTTTGAACTCCAACGCTGACTTCTGGACGCAATCGGCAGTTGCACGAGGTCACTATACCATTGGCAAAGAGATTGTGGATTTGGTCCTGGACAGGATTCGGAAATTGGCGGACAACTGCACAGGAAACCCAGCTTCATCGAGTGTTTTCCATGCAAACAATCTATGCGTTCGAGCAGCCAAACAATTTAGGGTTCGGTTTTTGTTAATGTTTGCAAGCCAGAACTGCAAGTATTTTCGCTTGCCAGATGTGCACCTGCAATTTTCCTTGAGGACTGCAAGGGTTCTGCGTCTACAATGCTTGTGGAGGTGGCACTGGTTCTGGCCTGGGTTGCCTGATGTTGGAGCGTTTGTCAGTGGCATGACAGCATTTTAGACCGGCTTTCATGTCAAAGAATGCTAGCAGTTCCGTGCGTCTCTTGCATTCCCGCTGCGTCCGGTTCGTGAAGTCGAACTGCGTCCTAAGGTGGATTACGGCAAAAAGAGCAAGATCTCCTTCACTGTGTGGTGCTGCCCAGGGACGATCCACCTCTCCGAGGGCCTGGGAGTAACGCACGATCAAGTCATAGACGGAGTAAATTTTTTGTGCGGCTAACGGATCAAATTCAATTGCAACACTTTTTTTTGAGTTCGCTTTCGGTCCACGACAGGGGGGCAGAGAGTGGAACGACCTTACCTCGGTTTGGTCAATAACCTCCTTGTCGCAGGTTGTATAGAACAGTTTAGCCGGTGCAATGCCCTAAAAGGGGCGGATAGTCGCTGGCTTCACGCAAGTTGTTTTTCAGCTTGACCTAGATCCGATTCTTCGCTCAACGGTAGTTTTCTGGCATGCACTACGTTTCCTATGTGATGACCCCGTGGCAGCTCACTTGATGGCTCCGACCACAGGCCTGCCAGCCCAGTCCGTAGGACTTTGCAGGGGAAACCCTGACGTGGTGTTTGTGGGTGTTGCTTTGTTGTTTTGATGCCATCGGTTTCCCGGGCGAAGATCGAAGTACAGATGATCTGGGGTCAAGTTTCGAAGCACAGCTAGGAAGGCTGTACAGTTTCGGTGTTGCATCCGCGGCACCTCCCTTCCTCAGCACAGGGAAGGGAAACGATGGTGGCCTCCAAACGGGGACCTTTGAAAGGGGTCCCATTCTGGAGAGCCATCGTGCCCTTGCCCGGTTTTTTCAGTTTTGTAACCTGCCAGGTGACTGTCGACCGCTTAGGCATCCGACAGTACTACCACACCTTCACAACCCTACAACACCGCGACTTCGCAGTGGTTTATGTATTCGATTTTTTGGTCCCGTGGTTGTGTTTTTTGGATCCTTTGTCAAAGACAGACAGCCAAGATTTTAGCCCACAGTCCCAAAAAGGTTCTCTGTGTGCATTCATTGTTGGAGCACACGGACGTAACGATCATGTACGACAATGAAGTCCTCTACGATATTTGTCGCAGGAACTTGGACATTGAACGCCCAACTTACACTAATTTGAACAGGCTGATTGCCCAGATTATCTCGAGCTTGACCGCCTCCCTTCGCGACTTGTCTGATGAAGTAGAGCAGTCAAAGTAGGTTTCAGTTGCGCACAAGACGTCGTTATACACATGTACAGCATTCATCAAGGATAGTGAAGGTTACCAATACATTCACACATTGAAACGTAATATGGAGCACTTGTTTCAAATCCGGCCGCGCATACAAATTCATTTATTTGCCAGTGGGGCGGAAGTTTCGGAAAGAGTAGAAAAGTGAAGCAACTGGACATGATGGAATGAACGACTGGGTGAAACCAAATGACACCAGCACATGAAATCAAAGGAAATGAAATGAAATCACGAAGAGGGAAGGAAAGGAAAAGTTAAGGGGAGAAAATCACATGAAATGAGAGAAATGAAAGCCTGAAAGAATGAAAGAAAAAGGATTGAACGAATGAACTGGCTGCATGGCTGAATGATTCACTGGCTGACTGACTGCCTGACTGACTGGCTGGCTGGCTGACTGACTGACTGAGGGACGGACGGACAGACGGACTGGCTGCGTGAGCCAAGTCTTCTTTGCGCAGCCTTAGTTTCCCCGAGCTTCTTTAGCGGGCTGCCTCTTCTCTGAGCCTCTTCTTCTCTGAGCTAGCTCTTCTGCAACCAATGTCTTCTCTTTACGATGCCTTGAGCAACCTCCCGTTTGGCAACCTCCTGTTTGAAATCCCACATAGCACGAAAGTCGCACCATGTCTAAAAACTGTCCGTGGGTTCGACGTCCTCCTCGTGGGTGATCCAGCGGACGACCATCACTGAGTTACTGAAGTGACGGCGGTGGTCGGCAAAGGCGCAGGGGGTCAACATGTTTCACGCGACTTACCTGCCAGCAGTGCAATGTTTGCCATGTCACATCATAGCACTGTGCCACATGAACCCAACTCAAATGTTTTCTCCAATGGGGTAGGGGCTGCTGCGTCCCTATCCGACTTCAGCAGCATTCGTCACTCTCGTTCCAGTGGCCCAGTTCCCAGCAGTAGTAATGCACTCCATGATGTTCTTCAAGGGAATCTTCATGAGACTAGTTTTGTACAGAGCAATCGCAATCGTAAGAGGCGAGAGCGCCACCAAGCAAGGATGCAAAGGGTCACCCACCGGACGTGTGTTATCCCTTGTGCTACCCAGAGACCCCTTAAGCCTTAAGCGATACCGGGCAACGCCCTCCTTCATGGCTTGTCACAGCAGTTTGGGCCCCTGTCTCTACTTCGACGGTCGAAGAACTTGACACGTTTTGGGATGAAATTGCATGTGCCACACGCAGAGAATGTCAATTCAGACCGGAATCAAGGCTCACTGCCACACTTCATGAACATACCCCACATGTGCTTGGTGGGGACTCCAATGCCCAAGTGTTTGAAGATGTCCATGAAGCCGACGCAAGCCCACTCATGGGAGATACCGGCCACCATGTCGACACCAGTTGGATGAATATGCCTTTGATAAGATTTCGTCCCTTGATGGCTGGATCCATGCCGACAGTTTTCGGGCACCTCTGGGAAATCGACACAGATGCACATGGTATTCCTCCATTCACCGACAGTTTTATGAGATTGACTGGATTCTCCTGCCCAGGAGGCATTTATCTAGGTTGGTAAGCATGACATTGCGACACACTCTTGAATTGCACACTCAGCATTCCGCTAAGGAGTATGTGTTCCGACTGGAACAGACTCGCAGCCCACGCCCTATACCAGGCGGGTGGCTCGACCTGATCTCACGGCCTTGAGGGGCACGTCTCTTGCAGCTCAGGAGGCCCGGGCCACACTGATCACTAAGGTACAGGAGGAATGCGCCCAGACTGATCAAGCCGTGTCGTTGACCCAATTTCGTGAAATAGCTTCTAAACACACCCTAAATGTTTGTGGGGAAACTAAACGCTCTGGGCGAGCGCCATGGCTGCGATCCCAGGCAGCGCATGATGCTGTTGCTCCCCTTAATAACCAATGTAGGTATCTTAGAAGTTGTAAACATGACATTCAGCGCCAACTTAGTGATTCCCCCGATAATGCCCAATTGCTAATCCAATTAACTAATCTCCAAGATAGGCACTGAGAAGTAAAGAGACAACAGAGACAAGTGCAGCGCCAGTTAGAAAAAGAATGCTGGGAAGGTAAGTTGGCCGAGCACCAACACCAAGCGGCCGACCCTTTCCAGTTTTTCCACAGCCTCAAAGAGCTGCAGCACCGTGGTAAAACAGCAGCACGCCAAAATCCATTTAGTCCAGCCGAATGGAGGGACCATTTTGAGACCATCAGCGGGAAGCCAGAGTTCCTGACAGACGAAATTAAGCAGTTAATTGACACCCTGCCTGTCAGTAACCTTGACCGGGCTCACTCTGCCCAACTTGATGATGACCTATCCGATGAAGAAATCCGCCGCGCAGTTCGCAGCCTGCGAAGTGGTGCAGGTGGAGGGGATGGATTGCCACCCGTAGTAGTCAAAACTCTCTTTGCCGACCCGTCCCTAGCGAACCAAATGAGCAAGTTTGTCCGCGACCTTTGGAACACCCCGGCAGATCAATGGCAAAGATCGCAAATGGATGGACCGGGACTCCAGGTCCCTCTGTGGAAACAAAAAGAGCCGTTCACCTCCATGGACAAGTGGAGGGGGGGTTGTCCTGTTATGGACCTTGCCGTGCATTCTTGCAAAAATTGTAGACCACCGAGGTCAAGCCTGGTTCGAGAACACCAGCCTGCCCATTCCCTCCAGCTTTGGTTTCAGACGCGGTCTGGGCACCGACGATGCTTTATTCATGATCCGACGATTGGATGAAGAAATAGGTGCCTGGCAAAGTTTTGGTTGGAACACTGTTGTTTATGAGGCGGGGCTAATGGACCTGAAAAAAGCCTATCCCACGGCTAATAAAGAACCATTCTGGTACTTACTTCAACACCATGGCATTGACCCTAGGGGCCCCTTCACTAATGCGTTAAGAGGATTCCACTGCTACCGAGAATATCAGATCAAGACGGGGCCAGACCTATCGGCAGCATCCTTGAGTTAACCGTACAAACCTGTACGGGGTTTTGGTGACGGTGATGGCACATCACCATGGGCCTGGAATATATTATACAATGCTGTTGTTCGTTTTGCTAGCCTGAAGAGGAAAGAAAACGCTCAACGACGAGGTCTTGTATGTGGCATTCCTTGGCGATGGCAAGACCGCATGAACTTAGAGTCCAGCTGGACACGCAAGAACGATGACCGCCAATGTCACCGTGCTCTGGTTGAAACAACCATCTTCGCAGACGACACGACCTTACATGGTGACCGACAGGAACTACATGTCTCTGATGCCCTCGGCCCCTCGGGCATGGACTGCTTTGCCAGCGCAGTTGCGCAATGGGGCTCTGAGGAACATGCTGGTAAGAGGGAACTCCACACATATGGCACTGAAACTGACACCTGCCTGGTAGGTGGAGGCATCTCCCCGCAACAAGCTGTTCGCCGAAATATAATTCGCGGTCAAAAATGTTGGTCTAAGATCCGACCCGCCTTAAAAAACACTAAATGGTCCCACAAATGAAGGGGTCGAATCCCAATGACCTTTATGTATAGTCCACTGGCCTATTCATGTAAGAGCCGAGCCACCACTCAGCGTAATATGACTAAAATGCAGTCGGTAATGAATACTGCCATCCGTTATGTTTGCCGAACCCGTGCAAGAACAGGGTATCAACCACAATGATCTTCGTGCCAAACTAGGAATTCCCCCTCTTGCTGCCGCCATGGAACAGGAACAAATGCGCTGGCTCGGGCACATCGCTCGTATGCAGTCCGACCAACCCAGGACCTATTCTAAGATGTTCGCACGTGGCACCTTGGATGCAGGCGAGTTTCAACGGGTGGCAGCAGCGGCTGGGGGGCGGATCTCGGCAGACCGCCGATCATTACCAGAGGTCTGGATCAACCTGTGTCATCAACATGGCTTTTGCGAAACCGAACTTGAAACTAAAGCCGCCGATCGTAATGCGGTTTGGACCCCCCTAATAAACCACAGATTTCGCCAAGCCATTTATGAAGACCAACTGCAGTCCCATTCCCATTAGAATGTTAGCCCGGACCCAGGCCTTCGAACATGGTCACGTCCCCAGGGACGGCGGCAACCGTCTCCTGAAGCCAAAGCGCGCAAAGTTGAACTCCAGCGCATCCGCCGTGCCCAGCCAAAGCCTGCTCTACCACCGCCGAGACAAAGAGTTGCCCCGGCAGCTGACCCCAACTTGCCGCGACCTGTCCGGCGACACGCCGAGCAAAGAACTTATTACGCCGGACAAAATCAGCGCAGAGTCACGGCAGCCGAAAGAGACCAATGGCACTTGTGGATGGACACCGCCACCAGGGACAAAAACTGCTCAGTATACTGAAGCTGCGCAACACTGGCGCAAATGCCGGGGAGAGAAGGCTCCCCAGGCCCCCAAAGAGCAAAAACTTGCCGTTCTTGCCCAGGCGGGCCAAACTGCAGCTCAGATAGCCAAAGATTCAGCGGAAGCTTCTTGGACAACTTGGACCAAGGAGATCAGTGAGAAACACCCACAGCTTGCCAGCAGCATCTGCCAGCCCAACTTTGATGTCCCCTTCTATTCACCAAAATGGGGCGCCAGTTCCCATGCAAAGTTTGTGGTCAACAGAGGGGATTCAATCGCATGACACGCTTCCCGTGCAAGAAGCGACCTGCCGATATTACCATTCGCCAGTGGCAAACGACAATCTTCGGAAAATTCCTCGACCCAGGTCGAAAATCTTCTGAAACCAGATCTCGAAAGGATCCAGCATGGAGAAGGCGGGCCGCAGACAAAGCGGCCGCAAAACGCCGCGAAAATGGGGCTCTGGAAGGACAGGGCCGCAGACGGGATTTGCTGAAGAAACACGAGTGACAGGAAAGCCAAAAAGCCTGGAACATTTTATCATTGAATTGCACTGTGCTCACCAGAGCACGTTTACTGACAATCTTGAATCATGCCAACACTCAAGAAGCTGATTTCATCTTTTTGCAAGAAGCACGACACCACGCTCCCTTGGGCAGCTCGAGCTGCCGCAGATCTAGGATGGAATGTTCACCTCTCTGAGCCGCCGCCCTATAATGCTAGAGACACACCCAAACAGGGTGGCAGGGCGGTACTTTGGAAGAAAACCTTAAACATAGGAAAAAGTTGCATGTTGCCTTTACAATCACGTGGCATCCACAGCCACCGTAATTGTCAAATAACTTTTCCTCACCTCTCAATAATGTCTGCCTACGGACCAGCTAAGGCATGCGACCGTAAATGGTTCTCGGAAGTAATGTTTGATAGCCACGCTTCCCAAAAACTTTGTCAAATGGTCATTGGCGATTTCAACTGGGGTAATCCTTATGATCATCTTATTCCCGAAAGCTGGAATATGGCCACTCCAAAAACCACAACTCATTCTGGTACTGTACCAACTAGGGCTTTGTGCACTCACCCGGTGCAACAAGTTCAAGCCACGCCTTTGCCAGGTATACCAAGTTATTTAGCGGTGCTCTACAAGGTGCGGTCACCGCTTGCCAGTGAAAGGCCTGAGACTCACCGCATGAGGCCCCGGAGATGTGCTAGCTTCAGTTGGAATGCCACGTCTGGTATTTCAAATGCACAGCTGGACCATATCATTTCTGAAGTGAATTATGTTTGCCCACACTTGGATGCATCACACTCGCTAGTGGACCGCTGGCGACAGTGGCATAGCCGCGTGGTAAAAGCATTTGAAGTCTCTGTCCAAGATGGACATGCTGAAAAAACATCCAAGGCCGAACGGCCAAAAGGATCGCTACCCACTTTTAGACCCAGTGATTCATTCCCTGCTCACAGACCTCCGCAAAGTTTGCTTCACCGTAGGTTGCTTAGGCTGCACAGGTCTTTTGCTGAACTTAGTAGGCAGGGTTTTCGCAACGACATGCATGTGCCAGGTGACCTGATCAGACGCATGAATGGGGCGCTGCTGGCCGCGAACCAGCAGCCTTGTTCAAACACTTGCAGCATGCAAGCTGCATTTGCTATCCTTGATAACCTGATCAAAAAAATGGAAGAAAACACAGCTTCTCAGAAAAGACAAGCTTGGAAAAGGAATTTTAAGACTTTCAGTCAAAGCATTTGGAAGCCTGCCAAAATGATTCTTAAGGATCCCCAGCTTAACTCTAGTTTTTCTGCTCACGATGCGTAAAGACTGGGAACCACACTGGTGCCCGTCAAAAAACATGGCGCGCACAGCTGAAGCCAGCTGGCGTAAAATTGCAGACGACGCAGACGTTGGTGTAGTTTCAGAAGAGTCTCCTGACTTGACCCTCCCAACCTGGGATGACTTTGCTGCAAGCATGATGAAAGCTTCTGGCAGCGCCGGCTTTGACGGCGGGACTGCAACTGAGGTTCATGCAATGCTTAAGCATCTCAAACCTTTTGCCAAGGAGCTTTACGAGCTCTGGTGTGAAACTTCACTTCTTTGTGCGACACAACGGGTTGTTGACTCGGAACTTAACTGTTTGCTTTGGCCACGGAAAGTCGTAGGCATTCCCAAAAAGACCCCTTTTGATTCTAGACCCATCAGCATAGCTAGTGTTTTACTTCGTCTATGGCACAGTTCCCTGCTACGAATTTGCCCACATCCCCCTGAGGGTCAGTGGTGTGGGAAAATCAACACTGCAGTTACTCATGCAACAGCTAGCTTTTTTGCTGCCGAGCCTGCTCATATCGCCGAGACCGACTTGAGTAAGGCCTTTGACCATTTATGGCCTGCTGTGGCCACGTCAGCCTTAAAGTATCTTGGTGCACGCAGCACGGTTGTTGGGACTGTCCACCATGCGTGGCATGGACCGAGGGTTTGCACTGTAGCCGGCGACATGGCAGGCCCAATTTGTCCCATCCCAGGAATCCCCAAGGCGACCTCATTAGTCCCTTGGCTTTAGTTGCTAGCTTGGGTCCTTGGTCAAAAACGGTCCAGCAGATCGATCCTGTAATCAAGGCTTGGGCCTATATTATGCCTATATGGATGATTGCACGATTGCTATCACACGAGCAGGTAGCAGGGACCTTCTCAGCGCGGCCCTGCCCTTCACCAGACACTTTGGCCAACAGGTGGGTTTCCAAACCAACAGTGACAAAACTCAGGTTTGGTCTTGCGAAGACCACACACCCACTGACTTCGTCCTTGAACATTTAGGCATTAAATATAACCCCGCCGATGTCAATTCTCTCATCACACCTAAGGACCCTTTGAAATTTCAAACGGCCATTCAAAGACTCTCCCATTGCCCGGGGAATATTGATGTAAGAAGTAAACTTGCTATGGCTTTCATTCGTCCCCTTCAAGATTGGGCCTCACCACTGTTCACGCCAGGAACCAGGCAAGATGCCAAGGCACTGTTTCGTGCAGTGACGCGCGCGAAAGCAACTTGGTGGTGTCAAGCTAGGTTTTGGTGTCAACACATTGACCTCCATCCCAGGTTTGGAATGGCTATTGGCGGGTTGTGTAACGCCAGCAGGCTTCTCCAGTACTCATGCCAGCGTTTAACTAACGTAATCAAAAAGTATTGCGCCGTTCTCAAACTCAAACTTGTTCGCATTAACTCCTCACAAATCGTTGTGCAAACTTGCGATTCAACATTGCAGTGCGGGCAGCAGGCCGGCAACCATGTAGGTGATTTTGACCAGACCACCACTCTTGAAGCCACCGATCCTGACGATGTTGATCCTCGTATCAGACATGCTCTACGGATCAGGGCTCGCAAACTTGTTCTCCGGGAGATCCAACGCGACAGGTTTGACTTCGAAGGTGCTGATAAGATTGACTTGGAAATTTATTCACACAAAAAATGGAAGCTTTTTCTTAAATCTCTTTCCGCGCAGGATAAAAACACCTTGATGATCTGGCAATCAGGTGCTATTTGGACACCAACACGTAGATTCTATCGACCCAATAATTCTGACACTTGCACGGCATGTTTCTTTTGTGATGAGGCACAAGCCAGCGCCAAACACTTCTTTTGCCATTGTCCCAAGTTTGCCAGCTTGAGATTGCACCTGCAAAACCAATGCTCCATCCCACCTGATTGGTGGGAAAACCAACCAAGATGCACCAGCAAATCTGGCTGGCTAACTTATTCGAGTGCGCAAACACTCGACATGAGAGTACAGCGTGCGATCGCTGCCAATCAATTAGGCATACATATCGCCAACATAGTTTTTGCAATGGAGAGAGAGCTGAACCTTTGACTTTAACATTAACAGTTCCACACCTAGGAACTTAAAACTTTGCCGTGGTCACTTGATCTTTCCGAAGCATTAACCTGTGACATGTGCAACTGAACCATTTCATACTAGTGTGGGCATTACACTCCAGCGATGATGAACTTTCCTGGATCTTGCAGGGGCCCTACGCTGTGGAGTCAGTTCACCGCTGGTTCCCCCTGCGTCTTAACCCAGAGTCACGTTGGCGCAGATGAACAACAAAAGACGAAGAAGAAGGGTTCCGGAGGTTCCGGAGGTTCCGGGAGGCTTCGGTGCAGGGCCAGGTCAGGTTCAACAGGGTTCCGGAGAAGGTTCCGGAGAAGGTCTGGGAGGCTTTGGTGCAGCCGGGTCAGGTTCAGCAGGGCTCACGGAAACCCAGCTGGGGTGTTTCCAGCGCTTGGCTTCGCAGCACGATTCAGAAAGAATTGTGAAAATAAAACGTTGTGGCTGTTGGGGATACCACCGAAGCTTATTAAGCACTATTTTGGCAGACTACATACAGCCCGCAACCGTGGAAACAACCTTCCCTCAGCAAAGCCTTTGGGGGCACAATGCCTATTTAAAAACACATTAATTTGTGCACCTTTCATCCTTTCACCTGCAAACACACACACACTCTCTCTCTCTCTGCCTCTTGCTGTGCGTAACGTTTGCATTGACTGCTGTATCAATTTCCCGATTAGTGTTGCAACCTGTATGGTTGACATGCTAAGAAGCCCCCCACTGACACGTGTCCGTAACTCGGAAGTTTGCTACAAGGTTTCCTGTCGCTATTCCATCCTCTTACACGCACATGTACAAGATGTTCATCCGTGAAGAAAGAATGTGCACACTTGGAACCACACACAGCCATTCAGCTGCAAGCATGGATGTCTATATCTTTGTAATTGACCCTTGGGTATACAGACACATGTAGACACATATATACATGTTAAATTTACATTTATATACATATACATCATATACCTTTTGACCCAGGCAGACAGCAAACAGACAGACAGACCAACGGACAGACCGGCAGGCAGACCGGCAGGCAGACCGACAGGCAGACCGGCAGGCAGACGCGCAGGCAGAACGACAGACAGACGCATACACACATACAAAATACCTACCTACGTACCTACCTACCTACCTACCTACTTACCTACCTACCTACCTACCTATAGCTACCTATAGCTACCTATAGCTACCTATAGCTACCTATAGCTACCTATAGCTACCTATAGCTACCTATAGCTACCTATAGCTACCTATAGCTACCTATAGCTACCTATAGCTACCTATAGCTACCTATAGCTACCTATAGCTACCTATGGCTACCTATAGCTACCGATAGCTACCTATAGCTATCTATAGCTACCTATAGCTAGCTAGCTAGCTAGCTACCTACCTATAGATATGCATACATGCATAGACAGGTAGACAGATAGACAGACAGATAGACGAATAGACAAACATAGACAGATAGGCAGAAAGACAGACAGACAGATAGATAGAAGGCTAGATGCATAGGTACACAGATACATACATATTTAGATAGATACATGCATACATGCTGTCACATGCGCAGACAAACTGCACAAACGCATATGTGTTCTAGAAAAGCAAGTGTGTAATGTGCACAAATAGGTACAGGTACATTTATGCATGCGCACAGAAGTACATACGAGCACACTTATTTGCATACATATGTGCTTGTGTACCTGCGCACATACGAACATGTGGCGTGTGTATACATACGGACCTGCAGGCAGATTTACATACATGCATGCATGCACGCATGCGTAGGTACGTGTACAAGCACACTCATTCAACAAGAACGGGTCAGTGACAATTTCTACCGTATCCGCACATTACCTCGACTTTGGCCATTTCAGTTTCCTTTCAATATCGATATGGATAGAGAATGCCTGGCTGGTGCAGAAAATGAATAAGTCGACAGCCGAAAAAGTGACCAGGTTTTGATGGGGCATTGAATGTGGACATCACTGAGTGTCTTGGATTTGCTTTATTGATTGCCCCAAAGTTGTTCTGCATGTACGGATCCCTTTCCAGAAACGATTCGTTCGTTCGCAAACAACACGACCCGGCAGGTTCCAAACGAATTTGGTTCCATATCCGCGCATCCACTTCATGTTGACCTCCTATGCTCCAGTCATCTCCGCGGAGAAGGCATACCATGAGCAGCTTTCTGTGGCAGAGATCACCATGTCCGTGTTCGAACCAGCCTCGATGATGGTGAAGTGTGACCCCCGCCACGGCAAGTACATGGCTTGCTGCATGATGTACCGTGGAGACTCAGCTGAAAGTCTGATCACCGTCGCTGCCTTTTTTTCAAAGACCAGTCAAGCGCACGGTGGGTGCTTCCATGCACTTTGTCTCTGTGATTGACACCATCCTGCCACGGCCCTTCTCCAATATGCATACATCCATGTCTTTTTCTTTCTCCTTTGCATAAGTTTATTCACTTGATTCAAAATGCATTCGTTGGCCCAGGAGATGTGGTGCCAAAGGATGTGAATGCGGCAGTTGCCACCATCAAGACCAAGCGAACCATCCAGTTCGTGGATTGGTGCCCCACTGGCTTCAAGTGCGGCATCAACTATCAACCGCCTACTGATGCTGGGGCTTGCTTAACGTCTTCTTTGCTCATGTGCTCACCCACTTGACTTGGGGAGGGCATCTCTTGGGAGTATCTTATTATGTTGGCAGTGATCAAATCCAAGGTGGTTCCTGGAGGTGATTTGGCCAAAGTCATGCGCGCCTGCTGCATGATATCAAACTCCACTGCCACTAGCACTGCAGTTTTTTGCTCCGGTGAATTTACACTGTCGGAACCAAAGAAGGATGGGAACACCTTAATGTTTACATATTTTGCGTGAAGTTCACAAGTTCTTTAGACCCCCAACAAATTATGAAGTTCTGGGGTGGAAAACATTGTTCCCATGCATTTTAACGAGCCCTATTCCAAACAGTTTCACGTCTGTCTGAGAAGACAACTCAAACGCTACCGTGCTAAGGCTGATTGTGTACACATCAAGGACCCATCTTGGACTGAAAAAGTTTGACAAGACCAGCCCAATCTTAACTTCAGGTTCACATGTGTTTATCGGACCAGCTAGAAGTCCGGCAATGCTGTTTCGAAAACGCAACCTTGTGCCGCAGTCGTTGAGAAGTGGGTCCCAAATGTCTTGGTGAGCTTTGTGCCCCAGAGAGGGGTCGAGCGGGGATGTTTTAAGGCGATCGCAGAAGTCTTTTCTCGCATCGACCACAAGTTCGACCTCATGTAGCTGGGCCGGCCTCGGCGCTTGGGCATTTGTGCCTTCATGCCAGTCGTTCATAAACGCTTTCAGAAAGTGTTTCGTGCAGGAGCAATAAGCTTGGATTCCAAAGCAGCCCTTGGTGTGAGAAAGTGTGCAGCTTGTGGTTTCTGGTTGCGTAAGGCCCCGAAATTTTATGGCATATGTTGCCGCCTTGTGCCACACTTTGGCGCTGCAATCCTTGAGGTTCATTGTCGGGACATCAAACCTATACATAGCCAAGGTACTCGAAACGTGCCTTTGTGCACCACTATGTCGGTGAAGGCATGGAAGAAGGTGAATTCTCCGAAGCCCGTGAGGACTTGGCGGCCTTGGAGAAACTTGGCGTTTCGGGTCACGAGTCTGGTAAAGATGATCATGCTGGTGATGGTGACGATGATGATGATGATGATGGTGATGATGTGATGTGGTGATCAGCGTGATGACAACAAAGAACATGTTGTTCTCCTTCTTGTTGTGGTTGTGGTTATGGTTGTGGTTGTGGTTGTGGTTGTGATTGTTGTGGTTGTTTTGGTTGTTGTGGTTGTTGTGGTTGTTGTGGTTGTTGTGGTTGTTGTGGTTGTTGTGGTTGTTGTGGTTGTTGTGTTTGTTGTGGTTGTTGTGGTTGTTGTGGTTGTTGTGGTTGTTGTGGTTGTTGTGGTTGTTGTGGTTGTTGTGGTTGTTTGTGGCTGTGGCTGTGGCTGTGGCTGTGGCTGTGGTTGTGGTTGTGGTCGTGGTCGTGGTGGTGGTTGTGGTTGTTGTTGTTGTTGTTGCTGCTGCTGCTGCTGTTGCTGCTGCTGCTACTGTTGCTGTTGCTGTCGTTGTTTCTGTGAGGAATATGGTGGTTATGATGGTGAACATGATGATGAGGATGATGCTGATTGAAAATGAAGATGGTGTGGGAGAAGGCGATGATGATGTTTTTGCACTCATGTTCTGTTGATGCTGAGGATGATGATGTTGATGACCACTGTGATGGAGTTGATGTGCTTGACAACAAGTTTGAGTTTGAAAAGATGTTTTTCCAACCCATCTTTTCTGTTGAGCTTGGAACCTCCGTGTGGTGTTTGACCTTTGGCCTGCCTGCCACGCATGGCAGCTAGGAAAGATTACGAAGAGGTCGGCATCGAAACTGCAGAGGTGCCCTGTGCTCGATATGTTTAGATGTGCTCTGCGTTTGTGAAGAGTTTCATCCATCAAACGGGTGGTTCGAGACCATTTGTGTAGTTCCTTTTGATTTCAAACGGTTCGCATTGTTCTTGATTTCTTGATTTTGTTTGCATCTGTTTTCGGGGTTCGCGATTTGATTGCTCGTCTTTCTGGCTGAGGGCGAGGGTGAAGAAGAAGGGTATGGAAACTTGGTTAGCTTACCATTTTGTCTTGTTTTCCCTGCATGGAATCCGGTATTTTGGGAAGTATAATAAAAGGAACTTGTTTGTGTGTTTGGCATTTTTGAGCAAATCAAAGGAGATGAGTTCTGAGTCTCACCCGCGTGAGACGAAGACGGATATCCGACCAACATCCAGATGTGATGCGCAGCCGAACTCCGTGCATTCTGCGCGAGGTGCTGCCAAAATGAACGCAGATCCTTAAGGCCACAAAATCTCACAAGAGATCAGGTTTTAATTTGTCGTTTGTTTTTCATCAAAAATTGAGTTCCGTCCTTGCATCGGAAAATTCAGACAATGATAAATGCCATGGGACATTTAGGTAGTTGTTTGTTGCACTTCGGATGAAAAATGGTGGCCAAAACATGGCTTAACAATACAGTTGATTTACCTGTTAGGATTTGGTCATACATAGGCTGAAGAGTTATGACTGCTAAGATAGTTCATATTATTTCCAACCAGCCCCGCGAAAGTAACATGTTATTTCAAGAAAAATGAAATATTTTTCATGAATCAATGAGTAATGAGTCAATGAGCCATCATTAAAGAAATTTAACGTTTTTCGGGTGAATCAGCCCAGGCAGCCCGGGTTCCGGAAGCTGGGGAGTTCACACCAGACATATTGAGACTGCTGGGCCAGCCGTGATTTCTCTGTCTTTGGCTCGTTGTTTTCTTTGTTAGTGGTTACTTGTTGGCTGCCACTTGTTTGATTGGTGAAAGGTGGTGAGGCGAATCCTGACTGAAGGTGGTCTCTTCTGATGATATCCGATGATTCTGTTTGGTTCCTTTCGGCTCAAGGATTTGTGCCTGAGGTGTGCCCCATCGCACGGTGTGCTTCCGACACGAAACCCATTTGTGCAACAACTCTCTTCAGTTCGTAGCCATGCGTGAGGCAATCTGCATCCATATTGGACAGGCCTGCGGCTGGTTGGGCTCTGGGTGAGACAGGCTGTACATCTTTCGCTGTCGCATATCAATAAATATGCACAGTACACGGTGTACACGTAACATCTACATCTTCAAGCATTGACCCTTCCGCACGCACATTCTTGACGATGAACTTCGAATAGTGATTGTTTTGAAGCGAGAATGGATTGCTGTGACCTCACTGCCACAGGGCGGAGTTCAGATTGGAAATGCGCCGCTTGTCTGGACCCGTTGGACGTGTTGGATGCCATGAGAAGATGGGGGGCTGAACGCCAACTACATGCTGTGGCATTTCTTTGAAGTAGAAGCCATCATGTTCACAAGAGCACACATATCCCGTGTGGCTATAAATCAAACTGATCAACACGTGACCCAGGGAACTTCTCTCACAGGGAGAAACCACCATTCTCATTTATTTTCCACGGGGACTCCTTTGGTCATGGTTCGTTTTCTGCTTTTAAGCACCTTTTTTCCATGGTTCCATGACTTTTCCTTGAAATCATGGGTGTGTAGCTGGTCTTTGGTCCAGGTGCTGGGAGCTTTTCTGTTTGGAGCACGGCATCCAACCTGATGGCCAGATGCCTTCCGACAAGACCATCGGCCACTGGGACATGCATTTCTTATACTCTGCTGGTCTGCTTCTGGCAAGCATAGATTCAGAATGATTCAAATATGTCCCGGAAGTCGTTCTTGCGTTGCTGCCGAAATTGGGGTGAGGCAGGCAGCAGTTAGTACTAGTCAGTCTCATGACCTTTACCCTGAGAAGAAGTTGGACAGAGGTCCGGGGATTGATCATCTGCCCTATGGTGAAGAGAAAGAATTAACGGTCAGTGTCAATATCTTTGAAAAGCGCAAGGAACCAACAGGTCTACACCGTATGATTTTTCCCCATCTGCTCAATTTGCTGGTTCATTTTTCACCTCAGCTTGCAAAGCGGTGTGGGAGGTGGTGGAGATGACGCATTCAATACGCTCCTTGGCGAGATGGCGGGATGACTTGGGGATGGATCATTTCTCAGGTGGTTGTGTCCTTCCAGTTCTTCCAGCCCTCCAAAGGATCTCGACCTGTTATTTCATCTGACACCACAGCTGGAGGGGTTGGAAAAAGAACAGGGTCATCCTACCCGAACGTTGTCGTTCAACAGCTCACACGTCTATGTTCTCAGGTTCTTCTCCGAAACTGGCGCAGGCAAGCACGTACCCCGGTGTGTGATGGTCGACTTGGCACCTTGGCAGTCATTGGTTGGATCAAGGCAGGGTGGTGGTGGTGGCGGCGGCGGTGGCGGTGATGGTGATGGTGATGGTGATGGTGATGGTGATGCCTGCTGATGGTGATGGTGATATAAACGTAAAGAATTGCTTGCGGTGATGTTTGGGATGGCTCTTATGAATACGGTGCTGACGATGGTGATGATGATGATGACGATGATGATGATGGTGATGATGATGATGATGGTGGTGATGATGATGATGATGACGGCGGCGACGACGACGGTGGTGTTGATGATGATGATGATGGTGGTGGTGATGATGATGACGATGATGATGATGGCTATGATGACGATGGTTGTGATTTTGAGTCTGGTTGTGATGATGATCATGACGGCGATGAAGATGACATCGGTGATGATGCCAAGGAACAGAAACTGGGGTTGGCATGCGGTCTGGTCACCACCACCACCACCACAACGACTAGACCACCATCACCACCACCAGTATCATCATCCTCATCATCATCACAACTGTCAGCACCATTAACAACGCCATCAAAAACATAATCGCACGCATTCTATACGGTAATCACCACTGTCAACATCATCATCACCGTTATCATCACCATCATCGTCGTCATCATCATCATCATCATCATCATTCATCGTAATCGTCATCATCATCATCATCATCGTCGTCATCGTCATCATCATCATCATCAGCCTCATAATAATCATCATCATCATAACAATCTTCGACATCATCGTAATCATCAGCGTCAATGTTGTCATCGTGATCGTCAAAGTCATCATCATCATCGTCATCATCACCATCATCATCATCATCGTCATCACCATCGTCATCATCACCATCATCATCATCATTATCATCATCATCATCATCATCATCATCGCAATCAACATCGGTGCAGTTGCACCATGGGCGGTTTCATCGCCACTCCATGGCTCCCCACCGGCCAGTTCACAGTTTACTCAAACGATGTTGATGATGTGATTGGTTACTCCCGTGTCATTCCCATGTTCGCGCCTCAACCGGCAAAAATGCAAGCCTGCAAGCTGCTCAGGAACCGACAGTTGTTGATGAGGTGCGCACGGGCACCTACCGTCAGCTCTTCCATCCAGAACAGTTGATTTCCGGAAAAGAAGACGCGGCCAACAACTTTGCACGAGGTGGCCGGATGCATTTTTTTCACATTGCTGCAGCATACATGCACTGTCATTGTAGCGTTCTTTAATAGACTTGGGCCGTGTATCTTGCCTCATTTTCTTGCTTGAAGTGTCAGATTGTGGGTTTAGGGTTTTATGTTTCGGTATTTTCCTTTGAACTCCAACGCTGACTTCTGGACGCCATCGGCAGTTGCACGAGGTCACTATACCATTGGCAAAGAGATTGTGGATTTGGTCCTGGACAGGATTCGGAAATTGGCGGACAACTGCACAGGAAACCCAGCTTCATCGAGCGTTTTCCATGCAAACAATCTATGCGTGCGAGCAGCCAAACAATTTAGGGTTCGGTTTTTGTTAATGTTTGCAAGCCAGAACTGCAAGTATTTTCGCTTGCCAGATGTGCACCTGCAATTTTCCTTGAGGACTGCAAGGGTTCTGCGTCTACAATGCTTGTGGAGGTGGCACTGGTTCTGGCCTGGGTTGCCTGATGTTGGAGCGTTTGTCAGTGGCATGGCAGCATTTTAGAACGGCTTTCATGTCAAAGAATGCTAGCAGTTCCGTGCGTCTCTTGCATTCCTGCTGCGTCCGGTTCGTGAAGCCGAACTGCGTCCTAAGGTGGATTACGGCAAAAAGAGCAAAATCTCCTTCACTGTGTGGTGCTGCCCACAGGTTGCCACAGCAGTTGTCGAACCCTACAACACCGCGACTTCGCAGTGGTTTATGTATTCGATTTTTTGGTCCCGTCGTTGTGTTTTTTGGATCCTTTGTCAAAGACAGACAGCCAAGATTTTAGCCTACAGTCCCAAAAAGGTTCTCTGCGTGCATTCATTGTTGGAGCACACGGACGTAACGATCATGTACGACAATGAAGCTCTCTACGATATTTGTCGCAGGAACTTGGACATTGAACGCCCAACTTACACTAATTTGAACAGGCTGATTGCCCAGATTATCTCGAGCTTGACCGCCTCCCTTCGCGACTTGTCTGATGAAGTAGAGCAGTCAAAGTAGGTTTCAGTTGCGAACAAGACGTCGTTATACACATGTACAGCATTCATCAAGGATAACGAAGGTTGCCAATACATTCACACATTGCATCGAAATATAGAGCACTTGTTTCAAATCCGGTCGCACATACAAATTCATTTATTTCCCCGTGGTGCCCAGCTGTGCTGGGGCGGAAGTTTCGGAAAGAGTAGAAAAGTGAAGCAAAGTGACATGATGGAATGAACGGCTGGGTGAAACCAAATGACGGGAGCACATGAAATCAAAGGAAATGAAATGAAATCACGAAGAGTGAAGGAAAGGAAAAGGTAGGGAAGGGAAGGGAAGGAAAGGAAATCACATGAAATGAGAGAAATGAAAGCCTGAAAGAATGAAAGAAAGAAGGATTGAACGAATGAACTGGCTGCATGGCTGAATGATTCACTGGCTGACTGACTGACTGACTGACTGACTGACTGGCTGGCTGACTGACTGACTGAGGGACGGACGGACGGACGGACTGGCTGCGTGAGCCAAGTCTTCTTTGCGCAACCTTAGTTTACCAGTTTCTTCTCTTTACGATGCCTTGAGCAACCTCCCGTTTGGCAACCTCCTGTTTGAAATCCCGAAGGTTGCACCAGGTCTAAAAACTGTCCGTCACGCAGCTCTTAAATGCGAGGAGCGTCACGCCAGATCCACAAGCGCCTTTTAGCAGCTGGTAACCTCCAACTGCCTTGAATCGGCGGAGAGTCGCAGCGTCACTAAGATTCCTGCGCGCAGCTGTTCCAAGGTGTATCGCCACCCCGAGTTCCAACCCTGCATAGCGTGGACGCACACATGCGCAGACTCCGGCTATTCTCAGACTCCGGTCTTCAGCCCAGAAGCTCCGGTGTGCACTGGAGAAGGTTCCAAAGGTTCCGGAGAAGGTCTGGGAGGCTTTGGCGCAGAGCCAGGAAGTTCAACAGGGTTCCGGAGAAGGTTCCGGAGAAGGTTCCGGAGAAGGTTCCGGAGAAGGTTGGAGAGGCTTTGGCCAGGTCAGATTCAACAGGTTCCGGCGAAGGTTCTGGGAGACTTGAATTTTGACGCAGGCCGCCAAAGCTGCTTGCGAAGAAGCCAAGCGTCATGGGCTGGGTGCTATCCTTCGCCAGCGCGAAGTTGGAGCTCGTAAGCCACGAACTGCCAACACTGCTGGGCGTGAGACTGCACCAGGCAGGCGCCGGATGTGGAAGTTTCTAGGAGTTCCCCATGGAATGTCTCAAAAAAACTTAAGAAAAATGGTGCAAGATAGTTATTGTTTTTCCAATGTTGAGATGGTTGAATTTTTCAGTGGCGCAAAAGCAAAGGTTGGACAGCGAGAGCTACTTGCAGCGATTAAGGTTCTCAATTACGATCTGACGACACCAACATTATGTCCAGCAGCCAGCAGTGACTTTGGCTGCGTTGACAGACGCGCTCATCATTGCCTGCCAGTGGAACGGCGTGTGACTTTGTCCAGTAGCTTGCAAAAGCGGCAAACGAACCCTCTTTTCCTCTGACCAAAGCCGCTGGATTCGTTGGTGAAGCAAAGCAACCCAAAGATGATAACATGGATGGTTCGGCCAATAAAGGCGATCAACAGGAAGGCAGAGGTCCTGCAGTTGGTCAATCCGTCCCGAACCAATCCATGCAGTTTCCGATGCCTGCAGGTGGATTGGGCAAAGTAGAGGCCATGGTGTCTTGAGGGCCATGGCGGTTACAACTCACTTGCGCAAATACAAAGAGGCTTATGAGCCTGCATGGGACATGTGCACCCCAGATGAAAAGGAGAGGAGACGCCCATGGATGCGGCGGAGTTTGAAAAGTACTTAAACCTGCTTGCTGTCGAAGGGGCTTGGGGTGGAGCCTTGGAGTTGACGGCTTTGGAAAACACACTGAATTTGAAGATTAGTGTGAAGGCTGGTGACCATACATGTGTTTTCAATAATCAGTAATGGTGACCAAACAGCTTTGATGTTGAATTTTGCGGGGAAGCGCTATGAGGCAACGAAAGTGACTGGGGTGCTATCAAAGAGGGTTACAGTAAAAGTTGCGAACAAGACGTCGTTATACATGTAAAGTAAAGCATCCATCAAGGATAACGAACGTTAAATACATTCACACATTGCATCGAAATATAGAGCACTTGTTTCAAATCCGGTCGCACATACAAATTCATTTATTTCCCCGTGGTGCCCAGCTGTGCTGGGGCGGAAGTTTCGGAAAGAGTAGAAAAGTGAATCAAAGTGACATGGAATGAACGAACGGTGAAATCAAATGACATGAGCACATGAAATGAAAGGACATGGAATGAAATCACGAACAGGGAAGGAAAGGAAAAGGTAGGGATGGGAAGGGAAGGAAATCACATGAAATGAAAGACTGAAAGCCTTCACACTGACACGCCCACGCCGTGGAGGCGGGCTCCCTGCATAGAAGGCGAGTGCAAAGTCATCGGAGGCGACCAGGTAGGAGTGTGCAGGGGATGTACACTCCTTTGTTCCATTTGGTCCCCGTTGACTTCTTCATCTTCATGTGCTGGTTTTTTGAGGTGCTGAAGCGCGGTGCCTACATCATCGGATGCGGGCTTTTTCTGCTCATTTATTCGGGTTTGATGATTGCTTTCCTGCAGAAAACTTCTGCAATGAGTCATCGCCCACTTTGGATGTTCCTTTTGACCGCGGCCCTCGGGCACAATGGAGGAGATGGCTTCGCCTGCTGCGTCGCAGCCGGGCAATTCGGACAGCTACTTTGATTGGGCGCCGCCGATATGTTCGGCGTGGGTAAAATGTGGTTTTGCGCGCTTCTCTCGGGATTGTCCGTTGCTGCTGGCATCTCGCAAGGGCCAGGGCCCCCGCATTGAGTTGCTATAGCTGGTGACTCACGGTGACCCCTCAATGCACTGCAGTTGAGCGTGCCGCCTGGGTTTCTGCGTGGTGGTGCTGCGAGCCGCTGTGAGCGTCTCTTCGGTGGTTTGAAAGCTCTGCTAGCTGAAGCAGAGCAGGCAGAGGAAAAAGGCGCGGAAACAGATGCAGCCCCCGCAATAATTTGCTGCAGGAATTGAGAAGCTTAGTAACACAGTGTTCTAGGAGAAATGGATTGGAAAGCCCAACACCTGCCAAAGGTGTAAGGGTGCTGGTGTCACACAGCAGACTGCAAAACAACAGATTGGGAAATGGTAATAGGAACGGTCTTTTTTACGCTGTCAGTGATGCTCGCAGAATCGTTGGGCATGGGGTTCAAAAAATTATTAAAGGCATCAAAAAGTAAATATTTAAGGCATCAATAATGAAATATTTAAGGGATCAACAAAAAATCATTTTGCCTGCGCTGGTGCAGTCTTTTGGCCCTTTTATGCCATTTTCAAATCTTGTGGTCTTTGAATCTCCGTCCTTCAGTCCTCTTCCTTGGTCCCCTGGTCCCTTGGTCCTCTGATCCCTTGGTCCTTTGGTCCCTTGGTCCTCTGGTCCCTTGGTCCTCTGGTCCTCTGGTCCCTTGATCCTCCGGTCCCTTGGTCCTCTGGTCTTCTGGTTGTTTGGTCCTTCCGTCCTTTGGTGGCTCTGGTGCCTGAAAACAGTTGAAGAAGAACCCTTAATTCAACCAGCCGTAAAAAAATTTAAATCAGCCTCAATAACCCCTAAACTACCCGCCAAGCCAAAGTAAGTCTTAAACGAATCCTTAACCAACCCTCAATCAGCCCTACACTAACCCTAAATAAACCTTAAACAAATCTTACATAAACCCTAAACGAAATCTAAACGAACCTTAAATAAGTTGTAAGCGAAACCAAAATCAACTTTAAACCAGTCGCCAAATAAACCCTAAACCACCCCTAAAAAACAATAAGCCAACCGTAAATAAACCCTAAATAAATCTTAAGCAAACCCAAATAAACCACAAACCAGCCCTACATAAACCCTAGACCAACCTTGAACCAACCAGAAATAAATCACTAAACCAACCTTAAAGACACCGGAAACTACATAGACTAAACCAATCAAAAATAACCCCTAAGCCAACCCCAAAGAAACCCTGAACCAACCCTAAATAACACCTAAATCAGCCACGAACCAATCCCAAATACATCCTGAATTAACCCTAAATAAATTTTGAGCAGCACCTACACAAATCTTTAATACCAACCCTAAACAAACCCTAAAACCAACCCTAAATATACCCTAAACAAATCTCAAACCAACCTTAAATAAACAAACAACCAACCCTCAATAGATCCCAAAGGAAACCTAAACCACAAAGTTTTGAACGAAATCAAAATAAACCCTAAAACAACTCTACACAAACACCAAAAATCTTTTAATAACTTTAAATAATATTTGAACGAAACCCAAAGAACCGTTTTACCCATCCTGACTAGACACCTAGTGAACCATAGGCCAAACCTAAGCTTACCCTAAACCAACCTAAGTCAACGTACTAGGCATCAAACCAAGCCTAAATCAACCCTAAACCAAACATAAACAAACTTTAAGCCAACATAAGTTTCAAAGCAACCATTGAAAATCAAAAATTCGAACTCCAAAGTGTTGCAGGTGCTGCCGAAACGGCAGCGCCGAGCCCTGCGAATGCTCGATTTCTAGGTCCAATGCCCTGCAAGAACCTTACGGGCGAGAGGCTCCACTTCCAAAACGATGCAGGTACCACGGAAATGCTTGGTTTTGTCTCCAAACTGTTGCGAGGGGGCCATAGAAAACAAGGAATTCCAGGGAATATTTTTTTTGATGCCTTAAAAAAATATTTTTGGATCCCCACGGTATTTTTTTTGATGCCTTATTTTTATTTTTGGATCCCTCACCCGTGCGGTCAGAGTCGTGGTCATGGAGTTCTTCGTGCCATGGCTGTCACGCACCTTGGAAAGCACAAGGAAGCTTACGAGGAACACGGATATGGTCACTCCTGATTCAGCAGAGGCGCCGTGGATGCCGCAGACTTCGAGAAATATCCGAATCTTTTGTCAGCAGAGGGATCATGGAGAGGAGGGCTGGAGCAGAAGTTTCGGAAAGAGTAGAAGTGAAGCAAAGTGACATGATGGAATGAACGGCTGGGTGAAACCAAATGATGGGAGCACATGAAATCAAAGGTAATGAAATGAAATCACGAAGAGGGAAGGAAAGGAAAAGGCAGGGAAGGGAAGGGAAGGAAAGGAAATCACATGAAATGAAAGAATGAAAGAAAGATGGATTGAACGAATGAATTGACTGCATGGCTGAGTGACTCACTGACTGACTGGCTGACTGGCTGGCTGACTGACTGACGGACTGGTTGAGTGAATGAAGTTAAGGTCTTCTCCAAGCCACATCTTCGCGAGCCAAGTTTTTTTTGCGCAACCTTAGTTTCCCCGAGCTTCTTCACTGGGCCACCTCTTCTCTGATCTGCCTCTGCTCTGAGCCTCTTGTTCTCTGAGCTAGCTCTTCTGCAACCAAATTCTTCTCTATTATGATGCCTTGGGCAACCTCCTGTTTGGCAACCTCCTGTTTGAAATCCCGCATAGCCCGAAAGTCGCACCATGTCTAAAAACTGTCCGTCGCGCAGCTGTTGCAATGCGTTTGGCAACCTCGCAGCTGCAGTCCTGCAAAGCAGGAGCGTCTGAATCGGTGGACTTTCTTGTGCACAGCTGCTCCAAGGTGTATCGCCACCCCCACCAATCCCGCATACGGCGGACGCACCCGCCACAGACCGTCAGTTTTTAAGCGCTATTTTGGCAAACTACGGCCTGCAACCGTGAAAGCAACCTTCCCTCAGCAAAGCCCTCGGGGGCACAATACCTATTCAAAAAAAGCACTGGTTTTTGCACCTTCATCCTTTCACCTGCAAACTCATTCTCTCCCTGCCTCTTGCCGTGCATAAGGTTTCCAGTGACTGCTCGAGCCAAGATGAAAGCCCCCCCACTGACATTTGTCACTAACTCGGAAGTTTGCTATCAGATTTCCAGTCACCATTGCATCCGCTCACGCACACACACACACACACATTTACGAGTATGTTCATACAGGTAAAAGCATGTGCATACAGCTGCATACATGTAAGCGCGCTCAGCCATTCAGCTGCATGCATGCAAGTCTACATCCTTGTGTTTACATTTGCATAGATACAAAAGTGTACATACTGGTATTGTCATTTTTCGGGCATGTAGACACATGTAGGCACATCTATCAACAGTACATACATGCAAAATGTACACGTGTATGCGTATACCTTTTGACCCAGGAAGACAGCAAGCAGACAGGCAGACGCCGACGGACAGACCACCAGGCAGACCGACCGACCAACCGACCGACCGACCGACTGACGGACAAACACACACACACACATACATACATACATACATACATACATACATACATACATACACATACCACATACATACATACATACACATACACCACATACACCACATACACCACATACACCACATACACCACATACACCACATACACCACATACACCACATACACCACATACACCACATACACCACATACACCACATACACCACATACATACATGCATACATATACATACATATATACATACATGCATACATGCATGCATACACACATGCATACATACATACCTACATATTTACCTACCTACCTACTTATCTAAATACCTACCTACATACTTACATACATACATACATACATACATACAGACAGACAGACAGACAGACAGTCACATACATACATTCAGTCATACATACATAGAAGCAGACAGACAGACAGACAGCCAGACAGTCAGCCAGCCAGCCAGACAGACAGACAGACATACGTAGATACATACATACATACATGCATGCATGCATGCATGCATGCATGCATGAATGCATATACATACGCACCAGATAGACAAACGGGCAACTAGACAGATAGACAGATTGACAGATAGACAGATAGACAGACAAGCAGACAGACAGACAGGCAGGCAGAAAGACAGGTAGATAGATAGATAGAAAGATAGATAGATAGAAAGGTAGATAGATGCATAGATACCTAGATACATAGTTACATAGATATTGAGACAGATGCATACGTACATGCGTACATGTGTACATGTGTACATTGAAACATGTGTGCAGACATGCATATACGTTACATACGGATTGCAGACAGATATACATACATACATGCGTACGTACGTGTACAAACACACTCATTAAACAAGAACGGATCAGTGGCAACTTCTACCGTATCTGCACGTTACCTCGATATTTACCACTCAGTTTCCTGTCAATATCGATATGGATAGAGAATGCCCGGGTAGAAAATGAATACGTTGACCTGGCCGAACAAGTGACCAGGTTTTGATGGGGCATTGAATGTGGACATCACCGAGTGTCTTGGATTTGCTTTATTGATTGCCCCAAAATTGTTCTGCATGTACGGATCCCTTTCCAGAAACGTTTCGTTCGTTCGCAAACAACACGACCCGGCAGGTTCCAAACCAATTTGGTTCCATATCCGCGCATCCACTTCATGTTGACCTCCTATGCTCCAGTCATCTCCGCGGAGAAGGCATACCATGAGCAGCTTTCTGTGGCAGAGATCACCATGTCCGTGTTCGAACCAGCCTCGATGATGGTGAAGTGTGACCCCCGTCACGGCAAGTACATGGCTTGCTGTATGATGTACCGTGGAGACTCAGCTGAAAGTCTGATCACCTTCGCTGCCTTTGTTTCAAAGACCAGTCAATCGCACGGTGGGTGCTTCCATGCACTTTGTCTCTGTGATTGACACCATCCTGCCGCGGCCATTCTCCAATATGCATACATCCATGTCTTTTTTTTCTTTCTCCTTTGCATAAGTTTATTCACTTGATTCAAAATGCATTTATTGGCCAAGGAGATGTGGTGCCAAAGGATGTGAATGCGGCAGTTGCCACCATCAAGACCAAGCGAACCATCCAGTTCGTGGATTGGTGCCCCACTGGCTTCAAGTGCGGCATCAACTATCAACCACCTACTGATCCTGGGGCTTGCTTAACGTCTTCTTTTCTCATGGGCTCACCCACTTGACTTGGGGAGGGCATCTCTTGGGAGTATCTTATAGAACGGGCTAGCGCCCGGGTGCCGCCGACCCCCCTGCTTGGGGGTTGGGCTGGAGGCGCAAGCACAGGAGGTGGAAAACCCTTGGATGGTTTTAAGGGTTTAGGGGCTGGCAAACGGCAAGCTTGGACGCCCAGAAGAAGCCATGGATGTGGCCTTGGAAGAAGCGATGGATCTGGCCGTGGGGTCGCTGTGGCCTGCGTTGGAGGCAGGCCTTTGGACGCCTGTTGGCTGAAGGTTGCAAGGGCTTTGACGTTTTGGGGGTTTGGAGGGTTTGGAGGGTTTGGAGCGTTTGGAGGGTTTGGCGCGTTTGGAGGGTTTGGAGCGTTTGGAGCGTTTTAAGGGTTTAGGGGCTGGCAAACGGCAAGCTTCGACGCCCATAAGAAGCCATGGATGTGGCCTTGGGACGCCTGTTGGCTGCGAAGGCCTGGCGAACGGCACGCTGGACCGCCCAGAAGAAGCGACGGATCTGGCCTTGGGGTCGCTGTTGCCTGCGCTGGACGCCCATAAGAAGCCATCGATGGGTGGTTTTAGAGGTGTGGAGGGTTTGGAGCGTTTGGAGCCCATAGACGCTTTTGCAGAGCTTTGAGGGTTTCAAAGGTTTTGACGTCTTGGGGGTTTGGAGGGTTTGGAAGGTTTGGAGCGTTTGGAGCGTTTTAAGGGTTTAGGGGCTGGCAAACGGCAAGCTTGGACGCCCAGAAGAAGCCATGGATGTGGCCTTGGAAGAAGCAATGGATCTGGCCGTGGGGTCGCTGTGGCCTGCGTTGGAGGCAGGCCTTTGGATGCCTGTTGGCTGAAGGTTGCAAGGGTTTTGGCGTTTGGAGGGTTTGGAGGGTTTGGAGCGTTTGGAGGGTTTGGAGGGTTTGGAGGGTTTGGAGCGTTTTAAGGGTTTAGGGGCTGGCAAACGGCAAGCTTGGACGCCCATAAGAAGCCATGGATGTGGCCTTGGGACGCCTGTTGGCTGCGAAGGCCTGGCGAACGGCACGCTGGACCGCCCAGAAGAAGCGATGGATCTGGCCTTGGGGTCGCTGTTGCCTGCGCTGGAAGCAGGCCTTGGGACGCCTGTTGGCTGCGAAGGCCTGGCGAACGGCACTCGGGACCGCCCAGAAGAAGCGATGGATCGGGCCTTGGGGTCGCTTTTGCCTGCGCTGGACGCCCATAAGAAGCCATCGATGGTTTTAGGGGTTTGAGGGTTGTGGAGGGTTTGGAGCGTGTGGAGCGTTTGGATGGTTTTAAGGGTTTAGGGGCTGGCAAACAGCAAGCTTGGACGCCCAGAAGAAGCCATGGATGTGGCCTTGGACGAAGCGATGGATCTGGCCGTGGGGTCGCTGCGGCCTGCGTTGGAGGCAGGTCTTGGGACGCCTGTTGGCTGAAGGTTGCAAGGGTTTTGACGTTTTGGGGGTTTGGAGGGTTTGGAGGGTTTGGAGCGTTTGGAGGGTTTGGAGGGTTTGGAGGGTTTGGAGGGTTTGGAGGGTTTGGAGGGTTTAGGGGCTGGCAAACGGCAAGCTTGGACGCCCATAAGAAGCCATGGATGTGGCCTTGGGACGCCTGTTGGCTGCGAAGGCCTGGCGAACGGCACACTGGACCGCCCAGAAGAAGCGATGGATCTGGCCTTGGGGTCGCTGTTGCCTGCGCTGGAAGCAGGCCTTGGGACGCCGTTGGCTGCGAAGGCCTGGCGAACGGCACCCGGGACCGCCCAGAAGACTTGGACGAAGCGATGGATCTGGCCGTGGGGTCGCTGTGGACTGCGTTGGAGGCAGGCCTTGGGACGCCTGTTGGCTGAAGGTTGCAAGGGTTTTGACGTTTTGGGGGTTTGGAGGGTTTGGAGGGTTTGGAGCGTTTGGAGGGTTTGGAGGGTTTGGAGGGTTAGGGGCTGGCAAACGGCAAGCTTGGACGCCCATAAGAAGCCATGGATGTGGCCTTGGGACGCCTGTTGGCTGCGAAGGCCTGGCGAACGGCACGCTGGACCGCCCAGAAGAAGCGATGGATCTGGCCTTGGGGTCGCTGTTGCCTGCGCTGGACGCCCATAAGAAGCCATCGATGGTTTTAGGGGTTTGAGGGTTGTGGAGGGTTTGGAGCGTGTGGGGCGCTTGGATGGTTTTAAGGGTTTAGGGGCTGGCAAACGGCAAGCTTGGACGCCCATAAGAAGCCATTGATGTGGCCTTGGGATGCCTGTTGCTAAGAAAGACAAGTTCCACACCTGCGGTGGTCCCAGGCGCCGCCCCTGCCTTGGCCAAGGCCGGGGTCGGCGGATTTTGTTGGCAGTGATCAAATCCAAGGTGGTTCCTGGAGGTGATTTGGCCAAAGTCATGCGCGCCTGCTGCATGATATCGAACTCCACCGCCACTAGCACTGCATTTTTTCCTCCTGTGGATTACATTGTCGGAACCAAAGAAGGGTAAGAAGGGTGGGGGCACCTCAATGTTTAAATACTTCACGTTCCGGGGTGGAAAACATTGTTCCCAGGCATTTTAACGAGTCCTATTCCAAGCAGTTTCGCGTTTTGCTGCGAGGACGAATCAAACGCTACCGTGCTAAGGCTGATTGTGTACACATCAAGGACCCATCTTGAACTGAAAAGTTTGACAAACCCAATCTTAACTTCAGGTTCACATGTGTTTATCGGACCAACTAAAAGTCTGGCAATGCTGTTTCGAAAATGAAACCTTGTGCCGCAGTTGTTGAGAAGTGGGTCCCTAATGTCTTGGTGAGCTTTGTGCCCCAGACAGGGATCGAACGGGGATGTTTCAAGGCGATCGCAGAAGTCTTTTCTCGCATCGACCACAAGTTCGACCTCATGTAGCTGGGCCGGCGTCTGCGCTTGGGTATTCAGGCCTTCATGTCAGTCGTTCATAAACGCTTTCAGAAAGTGTTTCGTGCAGGAGCCACAAGCTTGGATTCCAAAGCCACTGTGTTGATGTGAGAAAGT